TTTTTTTTTTTTTTTTTTTTTTGTGACGGTACTCCGATCGTGGGTCGCTGGTCTTGCTATTGCTGCAGCTTGCAGCGTGAGTTGGCGCATAGCATCCCTTCCTGTAGTTCTTATTCTCGCGATTTCTTTGATGGCCCACCTCACAAATAGATATCCTCTGGGCCCGAAGTCTGGACGATTGGATTATTGTGACAAGCCAAGTGTGTCAGAGGAGATTGGAGCCAGTGCAAGTCATCAATTGCCCAGATTTGCACAGGGATTCGGGTGCATGACATTCACTATTTTTCAGTCACGTTGACTTGAAGGACAGACCCAGGCAAGGGGGCAACTGACTGGGCCTGAAGCTTAGCAAGACCTAGCCCAAACCTTGAAGCCTCGCGGTGCCTTGCGCTGCTACGGCCATGNNNATGTTCATTTCATTTTCCATTATCCCTATATAGCCCACATATTATACCCCTCTTCTTCTGTTTTCAGGCCACAGTTCTTGCCTCCATGGCTAAGCGGCAGCTGGAGCATCACGAGCGCCAACTGCGTGTGCAGCTGATCTCGGAGAGGCGCAGCTGCCCTGTTTGCCATTTGAGCCATGCCCATAGGCGAACAGTACGCTGCATATATGTATAGTGTAGATGGATATGTGACATATTTGAATATGCGTAGGTATCTGTTTCATAAACGGCTTTTTCACTTGTCAAACGATGGAGTCAGACATCCTAGAATCAAAGGCTGTCGTCTTTGAACTAAGAGGGAGCGCAACTTGTGGAACCGGCCCTGCTCGAAGTATGCAAGGCCGAGGTAGGCATTTCACGGCGTGTTATGCGTTGACGCGTCACATTGCAACTTCAAGTCGACGTGTTATTTTTCATGGAGGACGATGTGTTTCTTTTCGCTTGAAGCACGTCTTATGCTGGAATTGATGCACCTGTTGCACAATATGGACGTGAAATCGAGGATGTGGTTTATACTGTGAAGGCATTGCGTGATAAACGAAATTGGTTTTAACCGGCCGGAGCGTTAGCCAGGAAATCCTACCTAGTGCAAGGCTGTACAGGTCACTGGCAACAGACAGCTCAAATCAGGAGATATGATTATGGATCACACATACGACACATGAAGCTGGAAGCCTAGTCATGTTTGTCCCAGAGGCTCCATCTGCCAGTGGCGGAGTGCATCTACAGCTCGCATGACAATTTTAGATAAGTTGGGGTGCCAACATGAGCTTGAATGCAAGGTCTGTTTGGAAGGGCATCGGACCAAGGAAATCTAACTAAGATGATCTGTGCACAGCATGTACATTTGTATGATTGCATGGGTTCTAGACTCCTAGTCGCTTAGACATGCGCTCCTCTCTCCTCATAATGGTCTGTCGAACAAGCTTTAGCGCTCAGCATCTGCTTTCCGGATGACACACTCATTAGCCAACAGGCTTCTCCATGTCATCAGGAATCAGGAGAATCCTCGGGCCTAGACTTACTGCATTCTCCGCTTTGGAGAATCCTGCTAGGACGCATGTAGGATGGGTCAAACCTCTTCAATGCCAGGGTGGCAAGGTTCGAGAGCGACTTCAAGCTGGAACAGGCTGGTAACATGAGGTTCCAGTCATAACTCCTACGACTATCAGGACTAGTAGTCACGTATGTGTCCCGATATTTCTGTCTACACCCATATTCAATATCATTCCCCAGAAAAACTTACCTTGGTGCCAGGATTCGTCTGATGAGGGCATGGTTTGGAGGTTAAAACTTATTCAGCAAAGCAGCGCTGAGCTAATTCTGCGGGGCGGGTGCATGGGAAAGTGCTCCGGGATCGCAGGTCATCTGTGCCTTAAAGGTCTCCGTCGAAAGAGCGTGTCGGTAAACTGCGCTGAGCAGGGGTCGGGTGAGGAGGCCATGAAAGCCCAAATGAGAGGCACCGCCTCGCTTGCACGTCTCCCTGTTGCACCGTCTGGCCATCACACACGTTACGCTGAGTTGCATGCAGCTGCGGCGGTTGGGTTTACATATGGCATGGCTGCATCCATTGTAAGCTCGTATTTCAAGACTAAAAAAATCCAACCTGGGAGCCAGGAAATTCCAAGGTCGCTCTGACTCCTGAATTTGTGGCAAGGGTTGGTTGAGGTTGGCCCCGGTAAAATGGATACTCCAGACAAAGGGCTGGAAACAGGGCTTCAGGGACAGAACCGCAGTGTTTTGCGACAGCCTTTGCAACAACCCGCTCTTTATGCTCATGATGCGGCAACGTTGGTCTGCAACAAGGGTTGTGACCTGGAGGATCCGATTTACCGACCGCGTGTGAGCGACCGCTTCATTTATTATCGTGTACCAGGTCTGTGAAGACATGCACAAAACCCTAGTAAAGCGCTAGCCCACCCCCCCCCCCACAAAAAAAGATCACTAATGCGTGACTTACCAGGATCCCATACAAAAGCAATCTATGTCGGGCATGCAGGCGAGGCATCTGGCAAAACACCAAAACGACAGGTATGAACACCGCAGTGCCAAAACCTGATTGAGGTTGCGTAAGCGGAGCAAATTGACGTCAGCCACTCAGCTGCTCAAGACTTGCCCAGCCACTCAGCCATTCAAGTGCTGTCGGGTAGTGCTTGAGTGGCTGAGTGGCTGGGCCAAGGCTTGGGTGGCTGTTTGCTGGGAGTAAGTCTTGGGTGGCTGTGTGGCTGGGGCAGGGCTTGAGTCTCTGAGCGGCTGAGGTAGCGCAGGAACGGCTGAGTGGCTGTAGTCACGCTTGAATGGCCGATGCGAACGCTCTCTCCAAAACACCGAAAAGGATACCCACCCCAAAAGAAAGAGTGACACCTGTTTCGTTGTTCTCCTACTTAATTACCCGTTCATAAGAAACTTATGCAGCTGCTCATATGTGAACATAAATCCATGTGCGCCTACATGTGTATGCAGGGTATGTGGAATGCTGTGCATACTTGGTGTGCATTTATGCTGGGCTGCTTTTGAGGAACTTGAGTTAAACTGCTATTCCTTATTTAAGGAGCCCTATTATGTACTGTATGCCCATGAGATGGTTGGGTAGTTTCAGTTCCTGAACAGCAACCCTATATACCACAATATATTACAATATGTAATACTCGATGTAATACTATACCATAACGGACTCTAATATACGTATGCTACACCCCCCTCCCCCCCTCCCTCCCCCTCAACCTTCCATCTCCCCGCCCCCCTCCCAGTGCTTTCGGTGGAGGCCCAGAGCTCACTCTCTTCAGGGACTGGGAAGTCGAGCCCTGCTCGTCGAGCACTGGACGTGCAGTCCATAGCCACCAGGCAGCAAGTCCACTGCTTCTCACGGGGGGCTAGGCGGGAATGAAGGAATATGTATTACGTGGGAATTATATTGGGATTAGATTCCATTATTCGCTACTAACACCCAGTAAGGCTGTTGGTGAGCACGAGAAAACCAACTCCTGGCTGTCCTCACATGAGCATGCGACTCCCAGCTCCCACATAGTCATTCCCGTATATCTTTCAGACTTGAAGACGTGATTGCCGGCACAGAGCCATTGCAACATGCTGAGGTGACTGCTGCTTAGCTGCACTGTTGGTGTTTCTGGGGCTGGTGGGGGATGGCAGGTGGGTTCTGAAAGGCAGGATCCCGTCTCAAAGAGTTTGTTGGCTCTACTTTAGCTTCCAAAAACCACAAGCGATATGCAGTCTTGAAGCCAGACAGGGCCTCACAGAGCCACCACCGAACATGGTGAGTGCCAGAAGCTTCCTCCATGTCATGTAGAAGAAGATGGCAAGTTTGATTGGCCCGGCGTGGTTTCTAAGGACCAAACAGGCAGCTGGAATGCATTTCAGGGGGGTTTGTGTACTGACCTAGCAGCGGCCTGTGCAGAACTCTGAACCTGACTGATGGTAGGCGGTACAGATTTGTTTGCACGCTCAGACGCATGCTAAAGTGCCAAGCTCACTGAAGTACACTAAAGCAAGAGTGCTGAGTACACACAGGGTGGAGGGAAGTGTAGGAATCATTAAGCAATGAAGTGCTTTCAACCTTCTTGTTCCATTTGCCCTTCCTGACAGGTCAGACTGGTTTCACTCAGTTCATCTTCGACATGAAGACGGACTGCAAAGAGCAACTTGAGCACATGGTCATGCTCGGCCATCAGGACAGCCGCCCTGTGCTTCAGGTCATTTCTGGACAACCTGTGGATGGTCCTGAAATTTGCAGCCTTCTGACATGATGCACCACATGTGATGCTATAGAGGGGCGACTTAAGCATAAGTGGGCATTTTGAGCCGTTTTGGATTCTGATTTTGAGAGATGACATGCTGGAGGCGTTGAAATTTAAGAAAGACGGGTATTTGGCACGTGACCGAATCCATCATGAGGATTCACAATGCTGACTCTGTTTGATAGAATGTTGCCTTCTACGCACCATGTTCTTCACAACCCTTGAAAGACTTACGATCTTTTCTTCTGCAATACAGTTCAATTCTGAGAAGGAGCACTGGCTCATCGAGGCGGGGACGCGGTGGTAGCCTTCCTGCATCGCCCTGACGGCCCAAAGAGGTATAAGAAAGCGTTGTAGTGATGTGTCCCTTCTCTTATTCTATGAAATCGCAGACCCTACTCTACCTTTCTATTCCGCTATATTTCTGGCTACATCGTCTCCTGGAGGACTACCCACTTGGTGTCGAAAGAGAGTCACTTCTGGACAGGTCCTACAGGGAGTACAGACAGCTGCGCAAGAGGAATGATACTTGAGCAGCCATATTCAACATTTGCTAGTTGATGAGCGAGCTCTAAAAACAATTGTAGTTCATGGCGCTGGTTGTTCTCAGCAGTACCATCACTTCAGAGCAGAAAGAAAGGACATCATCGGAGACGTAAACTCATATGCTTTCATGATACCTATGAACCCTCCAGAACCCTATGAGCCCTTGTAAACCCGAGAAACACTAAATCCTTCAGAGACTTTGGGATGCCTGCAAGTACCTCATCAGGATAGTAATACCTATTGTGTTAATCGCAGTTGTAATAATAGTAATCATTGTAGCAATCATAATGATTGTTAAGTTAATAGTAGTAGTAATAAGAATAAGTATATAGCATTTACAGCAATAAAGTAATAATAGTTGGGAGCACTCGCAAGGCCAGCCAGCTTAGCTTCAACCCGAAGAATCTCATTGGACGTGGCAACTACGGAGCCCTCTGGAGGAATTAGGTTTTGGGGTCTAGTGATTATATACGGTTTAGGGACTAGGGTTTAG